GATGAGTTAAATGACTGTGCCAGAACCACAGCTGTGAGATCTGTGCCACAATCACACACACACACACATACACACATAAAGGCAGTACAGTACATAGTAGCACTTCCTACAGTGTTGTCAGCTAGTAATCATGAATTTATGAGCACCCACTGGCACACAACCATCATGTGCACATATATCGACCCAACACAAGTCATACCCATGTGACATTTGTGTACATACAACATGCAGCCAAACCCCAGTGCAAGCACACAAGGTGTTTTTCCTTAATGAGCACAGACAGTAAACAGTATCAAGAGAGAAACAATAAATACCCAGCCAATTGCTCTCAAAGAGCTGAGAAGGAAGCAAGTTAATCTTCTAAGCGCTGCTGTCCTTGACAACTTAAACACAGAGAGAAAGGGACGAATTAAGACTGAGCACAATATCGGCACCATTAGAGGCAGTTTCCTTTTGGTTTTTATTTGTTCTGCAAACACATAAATTGTCAACAGTCTACCACACCAAACTATCTATAAACTAATCAGCTTCTTAATCGGCACATTGATAAATAAGATAACTCAACCCAATGCTGTGTTTTTAAATTGCCTATTCATCTACAGGGCAGGCTTCAGGAATGAGATGTGCTTTCAATGGCTGCATTTGTTCATGTAAATGGAGTTTGTGTGTGTCAGCTTTAAATGTCTGGGTTGGAAACATAAACCCATTAACATCTGTAAAAAAAAAAACACACATAGTATTAAATAGTTTTTTTTTTTTTTTTTTCTTATCGGTGCACCATTTGATACACTGTTCTGAAAAGAAAACAAACCAAACTGTGAATAGGTGTTTGCAGGAGGAATGACTATAGCCAATAATCCAAGACACACTGCAAAAATCAAATAATTTTTCAAGTAAAAAAAAAAAAAAAGTGAAAACTTTGCCACATAGATTCCTTGACTTCAATTTTTATTTGTATATAAAGCATAAGGTAAAGAAGGGAACAGAAAAAAAAGAATCATTTGTGAAGAATGGCATCTGTCCAGAGATTTGTACTAGATTAGTATCAGCCATGTTCAGGACAGAACACAAAATATTTTTTAAAAAGAATGAATCTTATTAATGAAGAGTGCACAGACTCTTGTTAAACATGGACCTTTTATTATAGTTTTATTAGTCAAAGATTGCTATTTTTCAGATTAATTTGCTTGATTCTTTTTGGGCTTTGGCTAAAAAAGAAATACGATCATATTAAATGTACAAGATTTGTAGTAACTTAGAATTTTAGTAGTATTAACCAGAGGTGTACTCACTCTTACTGTAGGTGCCCTTTTACGTAAATGTTCCTGACAGCTTTATTTCAGGCATTGCAAGACATTTATGAAAAGAGTCACAATGCTTACACATTATTTGGCAGCTCGTGGGCGAGAGGGAGTGGTGTTGCCGCTGGGGAACTGTAAAGCAATGATATGAAAGAAGAACTGTTTTTTGTTCTCTTGCAGGCTTCATTAATGATGAATTTCAAAAGTTATTTTGCCTTTGAAGATTTAATTAATGGCCATAGTGGGTTTGAGTGATGCTTGTCCATGTTTCTCACAGCGAATCCTCATTAGTTTCATTATTTACTGGAGAATTCTGTTGCTTACTTTATCATGTGCACAAGCATTGAAAGATATGAAGCTGAGATTCATTTATTTCTTGTTTGTGCACATTTTGCTGAATAGTGATTCATTCATCCATGCAACTGGCATTAGCAAAAAAAAATACAGGGAGGCGGTGCCGTCTGGTTGTCATTTTGGTTGTGTGGTTTGTTATTTAGACATGGCACAGATAAAATGTGATCATACTGTATACAGATAAAGAGGTACATAATGATTTCTGAAAGGGACCTAAAACTACAGTAAGCCACGTGTAATTTGTGTTTAACAGTGATCAGAATCTGTTTCTGCCAAGCCCTCAGCGGCTTGTTTCACAGCTCTGACATCTGTCTGGCTCACGTCACACTCACTGAATGTTCAAAGCACCATTTACGCACAGCTCTCATAATCAGGAAACACAGCAATATGAAGTCACAAGATGAGACAAATGGAACTTGGCTGCTGAGGCACCTTTCTCCCTGTGCACAGCAAAAATTACAAGCACTGAGACCATAACCTCTGTCTAACATGAACATGCAGTTGCCAGGTAGCTTATTATTATTTAAGCTGCATTTGTATTACTGACCAAGATAAAGACACACTATACACTCGCCAGCCACTTTATCAGGTAAATGTACAATTGTATGCAGTTCACTGCAACATTTCGGCTTTAACATTTGTGTTTATGTGGCTCAAAATGTTTTAGTTTTTGTGAAATTGTCAAATATATAAATTCAGTTATATGTTAAAAGTGGTGTTGTACTGGACCACATTATGTTCAGAGGTGTTCCTAATATTCTGACCCTGTCAAGTACTCTATGTAGCTGGGGAGAACAAAAAATATAGAGACACCTCTAAATATAATTGTATAGGTGAACCTAATCAGTTTGGGCAATAATTTTCAAATATTATACTAGTCATTAAATAATAAAAGTTAAATATTTCATGCGACCTATGGTTTTGTCTTTAAAAACCAAGAGCCACTGTTTTCCCTTGCTTTTACCATAAATTATTTTACTGCAGTGCCAAATACAAGCATCTCCCAGTAACTGTCAAATTGTTCCCAGCAAATATCAAATAGCTTTTTATCTTGAAATGCCCATCCCTAGTACATAATAAAGTGGCTGTATATAAGTGTATATAAGCAATATCAGAGCTTCTGTGACAAGAAAGCTCTGTACCCTTTCATTCAAATAGACATGCACAATGATGATATACTATATAAATCTTTGACTTAAGATAAAAGCCAAAGGATTAAGACAGAGATAAATGATACAGATTGACTGCTGTCTTTTTAATGATCCATTTAGAGCAGTACTGATTTTATAACCTCAGGCTCATTCATTTGCTGTCTCAGATGATGCATATTAATCATATGAATGACCCACCTAGTATACTGGGACACTGCATTGCTCTGTGTTTTCATGAAAGTGTGCACATGTTTCTTCAACTGTGTGTGTGTGCGTGCATGTATGTGTGTGTGTTCACACTGTATGCATTTAATCTCATGAAGCAGAACCAGAAATTATGAGGGACACCCACATACCCTAAATAGTTATCTGAATCTAATCTAGGCCATCCTGATTTCCCTTTGACACGTGACAAGCACTGCAGGTAGAAAGCAATGGCTCTTTCTCTCTCTCTCTCTCTCTCTCTCTCTCTCTCTCTCTCTCTCTCTCTCTCACTCACACACACACACACATAAAAACACCAAAACATTGCAGGGAGAGTAGGAAAACCTGCTGGAGATCGCAGAGCTGCAAACTCTGGTGCCTGTATAATGTTTCTGGGAAAACTTTTAAGGAGTGGTCCAAGGGAGCCACTGACATCCATGAGAACAACGCGAAGAGAGAAATAGAGCTTGAGAGAGAAGAAAGAGTATAGGGTGAGGTAACTCAAGGACATTCTGCTTGCTGCTGTGCTTTGCTGCTACAGAGCATGCTGCAGACTGTCAAGAGCTTTCCTTTTGGGCGGTATTATGTAAGCCTTTAGTGTGACGGACAGACAGATACACACAGACACAGACATACCCAGACACATGTACACAACACACAGAGGCCAATCAGTACACACACACACAATGATGAAAACATCACACAGAGGCACTAACACACACACATGTATTCAGAGCACGTAAATCTAACTTCGCATTGAGACTTGTGTTTGAAATTCTACTGCAGCCATCCACAGCTGATTAAGGCTCTTGTTCACTTCACTGAAGCAGAGACAGAAGAGAATAGAATAGAATAGAAATATTTTATAATAAAATTTGGGCTGAACATGCAGTTGTTCAATCAGTCTTTTTTTTTTACATTTAATATCCTTTAAAGGAACAGTTTGATATTTTGTCCAACTTGCTCATTAGCTTTCTTGGTGAGAGTTAGATGAGAACACTGATGGCCTTCTATCCTCACTATGACCAGTAGAGACCCCCTAAGGTCACTGTGGCCACCAAAGTTTACAAAAAAACATTTTACAGCACTGTGTCCTTTAAAAACTTCTTTATGCACATACCTAACAATTAGATACAAGACGTTAAAGGATAAGGCTGGTCATTTTCGATATTAATAGTATTTTCAGTAATGTCAATACAGAGACTAAAACCAACAATGAATTGCCTCTACTCGTGAATAATGTCTGTCGGTGTGTCAGTCCTGGATTAGCTAGTTCGTGCCATAGACCTCCATTGTTGTTCAAAAATGATTAAAAACACATCAGTAAAACTGTACTGGGTCACCTGTTTCTTCCTTAGCAACCGCCAGACCTGAGCGTGAGTAGCTAGCCGAGTGTAAACAAAGCTGAGAACTCACGCAAATCTTGCTCATGCACAGTTGACTCTCACTCGTATTAACCTCTAGAAATTATGGCTACTTGGAAACTTTGGGGCAGAATAGTCAGGCCAGGTGTTTTGTTATAAATGATGCGTCACCCAGTACAGCAGTGTGTTTCTCTGATGTGATTTTAATTGTTCCTACACAACAGTGGAGATCTATCGCACACACGAACAAGCTAATCCAGGACTGACAGCTGACAGACATTAACCGTGAATATTATATAACTCAAAAATTTTTATAATTTGGCAAATATGTTATGAAAAATTGGTATTTTGAAGTAAAACCACTACTGACTTCACAATGTGACATTAATTATGATACTGAGAGACTGTTTTATGTCCATTCATGGGAGCTTATTTTTATTTCTTTTGTCTGTTTCTAAGCATTTTTAAGCAGCCCAGTATGTTTTATCTCTTGCTCAAACTCACTATAGTTTTGAATGAAGGCCTAATGTTTCATCAACATATCGAGAACAGATTTGAAACCTTCTGGTGATGGGTTCATTTCTCTAGCCACAGATGTTTAGTAGAGTAGGGAGCAGACGACTCACCAAAGACAGTCCTGGCAGGAACAGACTCTCTGTTGAGCCAGAAAGACACTTGAGAGAGGATGACTGTCATGATGCAGGGTAGATATGTCTGGATCACAAAGTAACCAATTTTTCTTTTCAGGTGGAAGTGAGTCGTCATCACAACATACTTGCCTGTGGTCAGCAAATCACACGTTGAAGTCAGAAAGAATTCACAGGTAAACTTTGCATATTTTTGACAGCATTTTCCAAATGGTTTGTTGTGTTTTGACCTTCAGTTTTATTGCCACTAAGATTTATTGGCACAGCTATGGGTGTCATTTGTCAACTACAGTAACTCAATATCCAGACATGACCCATTTCATCAGCGAATTCAAGCCCAACCAGAGAGTCACAAGAGCAACACTAGAGTTTAATCTGGTTATGGCACTATGCTGATTTGGCATTTTCCAGCATCATAAATAACTGGAACAAATACAAATAATGTAACAGAGTGATAATGTGCATTTCTAGATCAACATTGCTTATTCAGTCAAACTTGGTAGATATGGTCAATTGGGACCTTTTTGCTAAAACAAAGCATGGACTGGGGGCTGTTTTCACTGTTACTCTGTGCCTACAGATTGCATCACTGCAAACAGGTCACCCATTTTATGCTGTCACTAATTGTTTTCAGTATCAATGGACCAAAAGGAGGAGCTGAAAAAAGACATAATGGCCAGTAGGGAAATTATTAATCTGGGACGTAGCCTGTCACTGGTAAAGTGACAAACCAATTTCACTGATGGTTGAGATGAACCGATGTAGTTGCCAAAATTTGCAGTTACATATCATTAGTGCATGCAGTGATTGATGAATGATGAACAAAGCAGATTTTTATTTATTTATTTTTTAGTGAATAATGAGAAGGCTTATAGTTTGTAACTGATAATGCACTGATCTTAAATCTTTTGTAGTGGCTTTTACTAAATAATTCAGTATGATCATTTATTACTGTCATATTATTTAATACAAAATGCTAAATGTCCTTTCAAAATATTTATTTATTAAAACAGTGAACTATATAATAACGAGCATATTGTCACCAAAATCACGTACCTGTGCTGGCCACCACCACACCAGAATCCACAGTTTGTCCCATCAGATCATACTGGTTTAATCTGGACCCATCCTCTGCCACCACCACAGACTTGGCAGGCTCCCTAGTCCACACATACACCACCTCTTCTTGAGTGTAGGCATCTGCCAAGTACAAATGGAGTGAACATTTATAAATTATTTTGCCGCTGGTTACCAGGCATCATGTGTAGCTTTGCAGGTCATATTTGTGGCTCTAAGGATGCCAGGTGTAAAAAGACGAATGTGAAATTAGGTCCCCCACTCAAACCCATGAGTTTAGTCTTATTTCACCTCACTTTGTCTCATCTTGTCTTTTCTTATCTTGTCTAGTCTGGGCTCATCTCAGTTATTATCCCTTTGTTTCACCATGTCTGCTGGCCTCATCTCCTCTGTTTTATCTAATCATTTGTATTATCCAAAAATTTACCATTTTTATCATGTGATGTGATATTGTATTTTATCTCATTATGTCATTCAACAAAATGTTATCCCTCAACTTATAAGGAAACAAACAGCAGCCAGAAACTTAAACTAAACAGAAACTTAAAGCATGGCCTTAAAACAGTCAAGTCAGTCTTTTCTTCCCTCCGGCCACCAAAGCTGTCCAAGCTGCAGCGTGGCTCGACCACTGCAGAGGAAAGAATTGCTCGACTGCAGACTGCAGCATAAGGAAGAGAGCTCATCACTGAAATATTTAGGGAGTGAGTTCAATTTAAAGGGGGTTGAGGCTTGGTCCTCTCACTCAAGCTGTGTAGCTGGAATGGCACAGAGACAATGTGACATTCGCTTCTCTGTTTCTCTTTTGCTATACTTTAGCTTTTCTTCTAGCCATTTTTCTTATTCTGGTCTCCTCCCTCCATCACTATATCTCTCATTTCTTCTCAAGGATGATGCAGGGCAGGGGTTGTGCTCAGCAGTGAGCAGCTGGTGTGATGCTCTGGAGACATTACAGAGAATGCTGCCTTAGAAATACATAGGTCTGCGAGTTGCATGCCTGCCAGGGGCCTGCAGGATTGAATGGGGGGAAGAGAGAGGCCTTGGCAGACAGCTCCTCTGGGAGAACAGCTGCTGCCCTACTGTCATCACTTATCAGGGACTAGTTGTGCTGGGGTTGTGCTTCCAGTTGGATGAGGTAATGATGACTTATGAGAGAAGCATGTATGTGTGTTATGTTTATGAGCATTTGTGTGCATGTATGTAAGGGTGTGTGTGAGTGGAGGAGCCACTTACAGCTGCCAAACTTCAGTGGACAAGCATGGGCATCCATAGGGAAGTCTTCCAGGTGCATGGGACATTCTGCTCTTACTGTAAGCCTAGAGAGATTCACACAAACACAGACAGTGAATTAGAAAAAAAAAGCAGTAAGGAAAAGCATAGCAGGAGGCAAAGCCAGGAAGAATGGTAACAGTGCTGGTGGAGGGACAAGGAAGAGGACTGGAAGAATTGAGGCACAAGAGTGACAGTTCAGTAGAGTAAGGTACCAGGAGTATGTGTTGTACCCTTTTGTTTTATCATCTGTCTCTCAGCACCAAACCTTGTCAAACTGCAGCTACTTCTACCCAAACCAACAGAAAATCTCCAGTTTCTGGAGCTGTGGGGTTCTATTTCCTGACAGTTTGTTGAAAAACAGCATGTCAGGCCACGTGTGATACAGTAATCTCTCATCCATCCTTTATTTTGCTCATTTGTGGCAGCAGTATAGGCTCTTCCTCTACCCCCCTCCTGCTAGTAAACATGCTACAGTTTAGGATCCTTGTTTTAAACATCTCAGATTAGTATCACTCTGTGGTCTGCATCAATGTTTGCATTGTTTTGTTGACCCAACATCTGCTAAAGGCTGTCATGAAAACCTATGTGACACACTAACCTTATAAATGGCTCATCATTTTATCTATAAAGAATTTTCAAAAAATACATGTATATAAATACAAATAGAAAATTGGTACTGTAGTTAATTGTCTCTGTGTAAAAGAAATAATATTTCTAACATTTTAAAGTGCAGTATTAGGTGCATTCACAAATAAACAGGGTATAAATAATGTATGATGATGCAATGCTTCTGAGAAAAGTCCAACACAACTGATCTCACTAACTAGTATTGTCTGTGTAGCTAAACTCACGTAAGTTATTCCTTTGTACCACAGACCTCCATTGTTTTCTGAAAATGAGTTGACATGTTCCTCCATTACCATGAAAATGGACACTGTATTATACATATAACGTTCTTGTTTACCTACTAGTGCACCTAATGTGTTAATCAGCAGCCGAAAACAGTCCTAAACCAATGCAGTATTTACTTCAGTTTGAGTAATATTTGCAAAACCTGCATTGCCCACCTGCCTTAGGAAGTTGCTGAGTCTTGAAACATATATTTGTGCCCCGTTATAAACTATTTTTGTCTTCAGTTGGAGTTTATTCAGAACATTACATCACCATATTCAGTTAAATTACTCTATAGTCAGCATGCCCTCCTTCCTCCTCAGCAAATAAATGCGCAATGATATTAAAATACCACAAAGCCTCAGCTTTTCCTGCCAGGTCAAAGACAGTTTAGCCTCTTGTTTATAGTATAGCGAGTAGTGTAGTAGAAGATGTCAGCATACCTCATGGTATAAAGTAGCGTGCCTTCCTCTTTAATTCGCAGCAGCTTGTTTGGCATGGTCATGTTGTGAGCCACTGACTTCTTGCCGTTGTGGAAGAAGGTATCAGGGGTCCAGATCTTGCTGGCCATCAGGTTGTTGAGACGCAGCACAGCCATTGGGCCTTTGAACTTTAATCTTTCATCCCTCCAGCTCTGTC